CTGGGATCCCATCCCCAATTCCCCTGTGGGCTTCTGAGCTGGATGAGTTCAAAGCTTGGAGCAACCTGGGATAATGGAAGGTGTCCCTGCTACTGCTGAATGATCCCAAACCAGTCTGGGATTTCATAATTCCAAAGGGAAACACCCAAAAAGAGCTTGGAGCTCAAACACAGGCAGCAAATTTTTGGGATATTTGCCCCTGCAGCAAATCCCTGTGGATATTTCCTCCTGCAGCAAATCCCTGTGGATATTTCCCCTGGAGCAAATCCCTGTGGATATTTCCATTTCCAGCAAATCCCTGTGGATATTTCCCCTTCCAGCAAATCCCTGTGGATATTTCCCCCTGCAGCAAATCCCTGTGGATATTTCCCCTTCCAGCAAATCTTTGGATGTTTCTACCAGGGAGGAGGAATCCATTTCCACTCCCAACATTTCCTTCTGATAGGTAACAAAACCCAGGAGCTGTTTGAACCCCTCCACCTGGCAGAGGAGCCCAGGAACAAAGGGAAAACAAAGCCCTGAGTTTTGTCAGCGCCACGGGAAAATCACACAACCCTTTTAATGAATAATAATTAATAATTAATGCTGACATCAAGCTGAAAGGGGGCTGAGTGTCACAGATGTGTCCTGCCACCACAGAATGTGACCCAGCAGGAGGGAGAGGTGCAGGATAAACTCTGTTTATGAGAATTTATAAACTCTCCATGGGCAGGGACAGCTTCCACAAGGCCAGGCTGCTCCAAGAACCCCACACACCTACAGGGAGCCTCCCCCTGGATTTTTTGGGGGGATCCCCAATTCCAGAGGCAGGGATACTCACGGGTAGCACAGGAACAGGAGGTTGAGGAAGGAGTAGGTCCTGAAGAGGTGGATGATGGAGCGACACAAACTCCAGCCCGTGCCCGTGAGCACGGCGAAGCGAGTGAGCACCAGCAGGATGGAGCGTGGCAGGGACACCTTGCCACTCTGGGAGGCCTGTGGGACACAGGGGACATCGGGCACAGCTGGGCACAGCTGGGCACAGCTGGGCACTGCCTCTTCTTAAAGGAGAAAATACTGTGTAAAATCATGGCTGGGAAGGAAATGGCAGTGCCCAGCTGGCACCAGGACAGGGAGGGCTTCTGTGGAATTTGGGATCTCCAAAACCTCTGGAATCAGGGAGTGAGGAAAGATTCCAGGTAAGGTCTGGAGGGTTTCTGTGGAATTTGTGCTCTCCAAAACCTCTCTGGAATCTGGGAGAGAAGAGGGATTCCAGGTAATATCTGGAGGGTTTCTGTGGAATTTGGGCTCTCCAAAACCTCTATGGAATTTGGGAGTGAGGAAAGATCTGTGGAATTTGGGATTTCCAAAACCCCTCTGGAATCTGGGAGTGAGGAAAGATCTGTGGAATTTGGGATCTCCAAAACCTCTGGAATCTGGGAGTGAGGAAAGATTCCAGGTAAGGTCTGGAGGGTTTTTGTGGAATTTGGGCTCTCCAAAACCCCTCTGGAATCTGGGAGTGAGGAAAGATTCCAGGTAAGGTCTGGAGGTTTCTGTGGAATCTGGGATCTCCAAAACCTCTCTGGAATCTGGGAGTGAGGAAAGATCTGTGGAATTTGGGCACTCCAAAACCCCTCTGGAATCTGGGAGTGAGGAAAGATTCCAGGTAAGGTCTGGAGGGTTTCTGTGGAATCTGGGATCTCCAAAACCTTGGGAATCTGGGAGTGAGGAGGGATTCCAGGTAATATCTGGAGGGTTTCTGTGGAANGACCACAAGCAAGGATTGTGACCCCTCATTGTGCCAAAATCACCACAAGCAAGGACTGTGACCCCTCACTGTGTCACACCCACCACAAGGAAGGACTGTGACCCCTCATTGTGCCCCAGCGTAGCCACAAGCAAGGACTGTGACTCTCATTGTCCCCCAGTGTCACTACAAGGAAGGAATGTGGCCACTCACTGTGTCACAATCACCACAATCAATGACTGTGACCCCTCATTGTGCCCCAATCACCACAAGGAAGGACTGTGACTCTCATTGTGCCACAATGACCACAAGGAAGGACTGTGGCCCCTCACTGTGCCTCTGTGTCACCACAAGGAAGGACTGTGACCCCCATTGTGCCACAACCACCACAATCAAGGACTGTGGCCTCTCATTGTCCCCCAGTGTCACCACAAGGAAAGACTGTGACTCTCACTGTGCCACAATGACCACAAGGAAGGATTGTCCTCCCTCATTGTGCCACAATGACCACAATCAAGGACTGTGGCCTCTCATTGTCCCCCAGGGTCACCATAAGGAAGGACTCTGGCCCCTCATTGTGCCACAAACACCACAATCAAGGACTGTGACCCCTCACTGTGCCAAAATCACCACAATCAAGGACTGTGGCCCCTCATTGTGCCAAAATCACCACAAGGAAGGACTGTGACTCTCACTGTGCCACAACAACCACAAGCAAGGATTGTCCTCCCTCACTGTGCCACAATCACCACAAGGAAGGATTGTGACTCTCATTGTCCCCCAGTGTCACTACAAGGAAGGACTGTGGCCCCTCACTGTGCCTCTGTGTCACTACAAGGAAGGACTGTGGCCCCCATTGTGCCACAATCACCACAGGCAAGGACTGTGGCTCCTCACTGTCCCCCAGTGTCACCACAAGCAAGGACTGTGACCCCTCACTGTGCCACAATCACCACAACCAAGGACTGTGACCCCTCACTGTGCCACAACCAAGGACTGTGGCCCCTCCTTGTGCCCCAGGGTCACCTCCCAGCCAGGCCTCACCTTGACAAACCACACAGGCACGAAGGCCACGTAGTAGGCACTGAGCATGGAGCTCACCAGC